CTGAGTTTCACGATACGCCGATCAAACCTATTAAGATATTCTGCCAGGAAAACGTTTGTTTTAAACAGCGCGCAATCCTATCATTTCTCCGCACCCTCTTGGCCTATATTGAGTAAGCCTTCGGGAAGTATTTTGATTAATAAAAAAGGTCGGACCACCTTGATTGTTCTACATTCCTTTGCCGTTAATGTACCATCAACCTTCTGGAAGAGTAGAATAAAGCCCAAATTACTTCACGCACGCTTGACTTTGTTTGTTGTTGACATTTTAACGACACCCAAGAAGCTGTCTAAATTTCTGACTGGTCTATAAAAATGACTTCGCTCAGTTCTATGTTTCTCGCTCTCACATGTTTTCTAAATAAGGACAAGTGTCTTTCACTCAAAATTTAGTCTCATTCAGGAAAAAAAAAAACGGAAAATGAAAAAAAAAACAAACAAACAAACAAACACACACACAAAAATGCACCAGGGTTTTATGAGGTTACCCGCAGTATGAAACCGTTATTTTCCTAATCGTTATTGACATAATTGAAATTTCTCGAGAAAGCTAGAATTTTTGCTCCAGTTTGGACAGATTACTTTACTTGTTTAATAGAACACAAAAAAAGAGAGAGGGAAACAGCTCACGAAAACGGCTTCAGCTTCTAGGGTGTCGTTAAGGTTGTGGTGCTTTTGAATAAATATACATAGAATTTGCGCCTTAGAAGTCAATAATTTATTATTGTTATTATTAAAAACCAAGTTTTTGGTGTTCAGATTTTCTAGGCAGCATTAGTAAAAGAACAGCTGCTTTTGAATACTGAACAACCTAACATAATTGCAACAACTCAGCTGTTCAAGTCGGAAGGTCTTCCTTCCTTGTGAACTCGTAACACGATAAAACTCGTCGCTGAACAGTTTCCCTTTTGTATACTGACGGTCAAAACCGATTTCAAAACAACGACTGACTTAGCGCATGATGTCACCTTGGTATTGTTTTTGACTCTTCACAAGCAAAGTACCTTTCGAAAATTAATCTAGAACTTGTTGGACGATTTAGCAGTATGAAGTCTGCCTAACATGGCAATGTCCAATTTTCATCATTTTTTACGCATGGTGACATTATCACTGTAGTCACGAAAGCTTTCTTTTGTGTAAAAAAATCAAATGATAATCTGATTATATCGTCAGAAACTTTGTTCCCTGAGCAGTCAAATCTATAGAAGTGCGTTTATATAAATATTTGTCAGTTTGACGCTGGAGATAACCTACACGGTTACCTACACGAGTTCTGATTTGCGCAATCAGTGGGTTTCAGGCTTTCTCTAAGAGATCGTTGATCTAATGAAATATATATGTCCTTCCACTGTTAGTTTTCGACCCCCTTATAACTGCGGCTTGAACATAAATGTTCAGAAATTAAAGGTTCAGCTAAATTGAGGATTATTTGGGACGCAATTTTGTTAAACAATGGATAAACTCTGTTTAAATAATCAGATCTAAATGTCTGCATGACATTCTCAAAAGGATAAAAAGAGCTTGGAGCATAGACGTTATAGCATTATGCGGTTTTCCGTGCTAAAAGAATGGCCATGTCTAGGTTTCATAATATTATGCAATGTGATATAGAAACTGTAGCCACGACAGCTTTCTCCTTCGTAAAAATCAGAAGAATTTATAATCAGACATTTTGTGCACTGAGCAGTCGAGTCTGTGGGGAATGTCGAGATAATTTGGTTTTATCAACTGAGTCGAATATGTTTATTGGCACGGTACCGTAAAGAATATCTAATTCCATCATTTATAGCGCGTTAGCCTTAATCAGCTGAAACAAGGGGCTAATGCTCGAAACGTCAGCTACAGAAACACAACATGTAATGCCACCCATCGACGCAGCAGCATAGTTTTCCTCAACTGTAGGAAAGATTAGCTGGATATGACCTCTTTCAAAGAGAGTATCTCCAACTAACCTTTCGCGACAAAGCTTAATTAACATGAAATAACCTTATGACTTCTCGGTCACTCATTCCGTTATTATCGTCAGTAGATACAACTAGTATGGTTTTTCGGTTTGACGCAAGTACACCGTATCAATTGCAAAGAAGAGAAAGCGATTGTATCACCTTAGATTTCTTGTACAGAGATTCTTGGAGTGCCACGGGGTAGTTCTTGTCTGTAACTGGTATAATAAACAATAATTTTATAATATTTCCTTTTCCTTTTCTCTCTTTAATAAATGTCCTATCAATTTTCCTTCATATTAGAACCAGTTAATTACTTAACTGAATTAATTAACACTAGTTTCAACCTTTATTGTAGCTAGGTTGAACTCCTAGACAAATGTTTTCATTATCATATTAAGGTTAATTTTCTAACACCTGTTCCCGAATTTGGCGCGAAATTTAACATAGTCTGTCTAAATTTTGATTTAGGCCATGAGTAACACAATTCTCGAATCCTTCTGCACATTTTTCGTATTTTCACGAAGGAAATACCTTTGAAATAACTCAGGTATTCATTCGGGCAATCTCTTCCAGAATTAGCAACAGAGTCAATATTAATCGCATAGCAACAGTTAAGGTTGCTTAACTAACTTAAGTTAACTAGTGGGAAAGTTTGCTCTGGGACTGACAAAGCATTGTAGCTGAAATCACTGTCTGCTGTTTTCAAGTTTAGGCAAATGTTTAGAGGATAGAAGAGTTAGCAATTAAGCTTTGGGATCTAAATTCAACGTGCTTGCATAGAAGATATGATGAATTTTTTTAGCGTTCTAGAAGACTTGCATGAAAGATTGTACACGATAGTGAATCATTGGCCCACGCGATAAATTAGATGGACTTGACGTTTATTTATGCTCTAGTTGAGCTTTCAAACTATGAACTGTCGTATTCTTTTGTTTTTCTTTGTTTACTTTGTTCCTTTCTGTTAATTTTGTGTATTCCGCATTGCGGTTTTGTTTGTCACGAACTTATATGGAAAGACAAGGGAGGCATTTTTTCATTTAGCCACTAGGTTCTGAGAGGTAACACGACTATGAAAACAATTATTTCCTAGGAGTTTTATACACAATTTTCATTGCCTTATTTTTTCTATTTCCAGTAAGTATAAAGTCATTCGTCTGAATCTTACTACGGACCGATTGTGGAGTGAACCTAAGTTTTGGTAAGTTATAAAGCCAGTTTTTATATTTTTTTTTATGTGCTCTAGTTGAAGAGTTGCTTCCAAGCGGTGTTTTCCTACAGTAATGCAAAGCTTTCCTACGAGTCGGTGAATTCCTATCTTCGACAAAAGGAAATTTTGCCAATTTCGAAGTGACCATCAAACAAGAAACTACGAACCTTACCCAAAACAGTCCGTCCTGGTTGCGGTTCGTTCGTTACTTTCTCAGAAAATATTGAGCTCAGCAAATTGCATCTTAAGCGAAAGAAATAGGATCCTTCATTATTCAAATTTTGGGGCTTTTTAAGTTTGTCTTGACGTTTCACGAAGCGCGTTTCTACGCGGCCAATCCATTTTGCTCAAACGCATTTCAAGCTCGATTCTGCATGTTCTCTTTCATCAGAGCGAGATACAATCTACCTCACTAAGTTTAGTTAAGGCTGGCAACTTCATTCTTCCTTTGTGAATAGATCTGAAATGAACTTCAGCGAGGAAACCACTTAGTGTTCCCAATCATGTTTCAGCCTGAATACTTCGGTCCAAATTTCTAGGTCACACCTTAGCATGTGAAGCAGCTTTTTAATTATTTCCTTCGTTGCCTTTCAAAACCATGTTTTGTTACCTTATCTTGAAACATTTTGCCCCTTAGTGCTTATATTTTACCAGTTCGGGGTTTAAAATTGTTTTTCCTTCCTATCAATACTACTGTCAATATTCTGCTAGAACCTTCCACGCCTTGTTAAAAGTTCGATCATAAATAATGAACTTCGTGTGGCTTTTCACTAAAAATGACAATTAACATAGAAAAGCTAAAAATCAGTGCCAATTTTCCGAAGGAACCTCAAAATTCACCAAGTTTAAAACCACCTGAATTTTACCATTGAAGTTCGAGCCTATTCTTGTGACATACCTGTAACAGAATTCTAGGATTTTGCCTGTGGCAAAGTATACTTTGTAAGCTACTTAAACAAACAAACAACAAAACAGTTCTTGAAATCACGACGTGATATTGGCGGCTTCGTTCTCGTCAAATGATCGCACACAAAGCTATTGTGAAATTGTTTCATTCTTAGCATAGTTATTAATTACTAATCATAAAGGAATTTATTGATTATTTCCAAAATGGGAATAGTCCGCACAGAAAGTAAGAAATAGTAAAAAGAAACCAAGTAAAGCTTTGAGCGAAGAAAGTCATGTTGGTTTTTTTTCGTTGTTCTTACGACCCTTGTTTTTCTTTAAACTGTCATTGCTGATATTTATCTTCATCAAGTACTTGGTTTTTTTATGTTTTTTTTTTTTTGTTAATGAGTGTTTTTGTTGCTTTGTTTTGTTTTTTCTAATGACGTATAACTCCTCTGTTACTCTTTTTCTCGTTGCTCTTATTACCTCTTTTTTCCTCATTCTCGTGATCACCTCTTGTACCATAACTTATTCTTTTTCAACATATTATTTCTACTTGCGCTGGGGTTTCAACAACATTGTACATTTCTTTTTGTCTATTTATTTATTTATCTATTTATTTATTTCTTGCCGCAGATCCAAGAGAAACTAATTATCAACATGAAGCAGGCAATTATCTTGGCGGCATTTGCTCTCGTTTTACAACAAACAAAAGGTAACGCAGTCATTTCATCTGTATTACTCTTGACTCCAAAGTTGTGATAACCATATATCATTCTTCGTGGGTTTCATGAATTGACAATTATATAAAAGCTTTACGAATAGAAATTACGAAATAAAAGAATTGAAATGTGCAATTTCTTCACAGATTTAATTTGAGTTCGTTAACATTTTATCATAGTACAGTCTCTCTCTTTTCTAACATCTACAACTAAATAGAATGTGTTATTACCTATCATAAATGAAAGAGTTGAAGTTAAGAATTGTTTTCTACTCTCACTCAGGTGACTCTCACAAGCCGCAGGCCAACGTGACTTGTAACTCTGATCACACTGTGAATATATTGATCACACACGTGGATGATGCAGCACAATGGAACGCATCAGAATGGACCACAAAGACAGGCTATGCAGAGTGTGAACCAACAATTTATAAAGATGCTGAAACAGTTACTTATAATAATCTTACCCTCCCCAACTGTTCTTTAGAGTCAAACCAGAATGCTACACACATTACTTATATACTCCGAATAAGCGCTGTAAAAACTGCTGCTGATCCAAATACAGGTCAATTGCGCGCTTACGACCACCAGTACTACGTCACGTGTACCTACAATAATTCAGGCAGGGCTCAGGCGAATTTTGTGCCAATCAAGAACCGAGAAGATAACGATACAGGTATGTGGCTTTGATCAAGATAACAGCATGTTTAATTTATGTTAGGCAATTTTTGTTTGAATTCCTGCAATGTGGAGATTCCTCCGTATCAAACCCGCTTTGCCACCGAGTGTGTTGGCTGGCCTTCCTTCAATGACTGATGGGAAAAAAAGGGACAAATAATCTTCATATTAATAATCTTCAAAAACAAATGATCTTCTTTTTTGTCAACTTTTAGCGGACGGAGTTTTCACATTTTCTCTCGTCGCGTATAAAGACGCCGAATATAACCAGATGGTTGACAACAGCCCTATTGCTCTGAATGTGGACATTTTCTTCAAAGCTAAAGTCACAACTCAAAGCAGCGCACCAAACCTTGACCTGTACCCCGTGAGTTGTTATTCATCAAAAAGCAATAATCCAGATGCTGATGATGATGGTAAATTCACTCTAATAACCAACGGGTAAGAATTTCTGTGATATCAATTTGCCCACCAAACACGACTAAAATATAATAATGGTAATAACAATGACAATAACAATTATAATTAATTTTCAAACAATTTAGAGGAAGACTAGATACTATTATTATACTAGATACCAATGAAATACCAGGATTTTACCTTTTGCTAAAAATCATGACTTCGTCGCGCGTAGGGAAGATACTATTTTTTTCTTTCACGTGTCAGGATAATAGTGTCGCCATGGTTACTAACATGGTTACTTTTACTGCGGTAGAATTTTTCTCTTCTTCATCAGAATTTTGACTTATTAGAACAGAAAATATAAGTATTATTGTCTTTATTTCTCCTTTATAACTTTATACGCAAGTTTCATAACATTGCTATGACAGGCATTTTGCGATAGGTGACCACTTTAATTGCACTATTTTGCTGTTTTGAAAACGAATAAAAAAAAGTTGTGTTTTGTTTGGAAATTTCAGCAGTATCTATATAATAAACAGAACATTACATGGCCGCTTGGGGATACGAGTTTTATCTTCTCATGTTGAAAGTATCTCTCACTCGTTCGCTTCGCTCACTCGCGAGAGATACTCGAAGACAAAATTCGTATCCCCGCGCGGCCCTGTAATATCCTCTATTTGTCTTGAACTGTCTGTTACTGTATCGCTATTACTCCCTGTGGCTCTTAATCTCGGTGAAATATGGTCGTCAGTATAGACCCCAGACAGACTGAGACAGTCTTATAAGTTTCTGTGAGACTGTCAGACTACTGATCCAACATGAGTGAGTGACACTGGCCAGTTCTAAAAGAAGTAGGGCTCACCTTGAATAATGAATCTCATTCATGTTCTTTTTTTTCAGTTTCTTGTCATTAAATGGTAAGCGTTAACCTTCCAAAACCTCAATTAAAAACTACCGTTGTAGCTTTTGTAGGAAACTTTTCTTGCATGCTGTCTGGTATCAATTCAGGATAGAATATGTAGTTGATGCTATGGAATTACCTGGCTCTCCTCAATTTTAGATAAAATTTGTTACCTCGAAAGTAAGAGGAGTTATGTTTACATTACTTTCTTATACCATTTATTTTCATTTCTTGCCTAGTTGTGGCAGCGATGGAGTGAGCGAAGATCGCGATGACACATTAGCATACAACTGTACAGACAACAGCATCACGGAAACATTCTCACTCAAAACTTATCGGTATTTTGGAGCAGCTGCAAATGCCCCTGTTTTCATCCACTGCTATTTCAGAGTTTGCTTGGCAGATGGAGTCGATACTGCTTGTGAATGTCCAAAGAATGCTGCCACATGCGTAGGTAATCGTACCGCTGATCTTGCGCGTCGACGTCGTCGTTCAACCTCTGATTTAGTGGACGAGTCGCGGCTTTACCATGCTGTTTCCGGTCCATTTACTTTTAAGCAAGAACTGAACAAAGATGAAGGTAAATGATAACTCACAAGGTTTATAGCTAAGAGACAGGGGTTATATTAAGTGCTTTAATTTCTACATTCTGTGTCAACAAAGACTAGTTTTCCATGATAACTGACCAAGTCAGATTGATAGAGGCCGCACCGACCATCTTGCAGAACCTGGAAGTTAACTTGAACATTTTAGATATGATATCAAATGAACAATATGTGATATCATATAGCGTAATGAAGATTATAGACAATTAACCAAGGCTTAATAAAAACCTTCAGAAAAGCCATTGACATGTCCCCTTTCATCTATTCTCAATTGCTCTGCCTTGATTTAAAAAAACTGAACGGTTTAATCTCTGACATCTACTTACACTCTCGATAGTTCAACTGAATTATTAATATGAAATCAATTTGCTTCATTTCAGTTGCATCTGAAGACCAAGAAGAGACCAGCCAGTCTTTCCAGACCGTAGCAATTGTTGGGGCAGTATGTGGTGTTGTGGCTGTAGCTATCATCTGCGCTACCGTCTATATTGTCATTCGCCATCGCAACAAGCACGCGCCAAATGGAGATCTGCACGTGGTCACCTAAACTCCAAACACAAATGAGCTGTGTTGCGCAAACGAGCACATATTATGTTTTGGTTAAGAAAAATCCATTTGATTAATGAGACCCATGAAGCAACTTGATAAGGTTTAGTTGAGTTCTGGAAGTTGATTAAGACATGAAATTCCTCACTTTTTTTTCTTTTAAGCATATAAATGATCAATCGGCTTTTTCTTCAGATGATGGTAAGAATCAATAGCATTTTCAAAGTTAATCGGATTTTTGCTTTTACTTTAGTGTCGAGGTTGATTTCAATTGCCACAACTGTGAAGTCGAAACAAACTCAAATTTGCTTGTTACAGCAAAACAGCCCTTCGTTCTAATCTCTCATTATATCAACACCCTCTAAAGTTGCACAATTTCAGGCGTAATGAGAAACACGAAGTGTTCCTTATTATCACGTGTGACAAACTTTACACTAAATTTGCAGCACAGCAACGGCAACGTTGATATTATACGACGCGTATATGATACATAGCCTAATGCTAGTCTTAGTAAGTATAGTCAAGTCGGCGCATGCAGGCCTAATTGCTTTCCCATTACAGGAGCTTAAGCCCTGTTAGTGACGCACCAGTACTGGTGCAATGTTTAAGAATTTTTGGAAATTTCTCTGAGCAGCATCTTAATAAAATGTAGACACCGTGGTGACTTAAGTGTAAAACCTTTGTGTGTTTCTCTTTCTGAGAATGTATGTGTTCTAGAGAACCGGACGGCCATCTTTCTCTCCAATGGTACTTAACCCTGGCCTGTTGCAGTCACGCAAAATGTGCGAAAGAAATTGAAACATTCATCAGAAATTTTGGTTTGGATGGTTTGGAAGACCATTTTGTTTTGAATATATCTGAGCCAAATAATGGGATCGAATGACTTTATCTTTTCTCTCTTTCAGTGCAATGGTGCAGCAGAGAATTCGAAGTGTATAGCATCCTTACAAAAGTCATGTAAACTTTAAATGATTTGAGAATACTAGTCCTGATTTTTGCGTTCTGTGTTCTCAATCAACGGTGCCCTTGAAAGAGAACAAAGACATTTGATCGACGTACATATGTTCTTGGCTAATAAGAATTTTCCGTTTACAATGTGTAGAGATAAAACTAAGGCCTGTAGAAAAGCTAGCAAATATACTTTGGATTTAAATTCAACGTGCTTGCAGCGAAGATATGATGAAATTTTGCAGTGTTCTAGAAGACTTATATGAAAGATTCTACATGATAATTAATCATTGGCCCATGCGATAAGTTAGAAGGACATGACGTTACTTCAAGCTTCCGCTGAGCTTTTAAAATGTGAATTATCGCATTCTTTTGTTCTTTGCTTTGTTCCTTTTTGTTTTGTGTATTCTGTATTGCGGTTTTGATTGTCATGTATTTGAGAACGTGTCCACGAGCATTATTGATTCTTTCTCTGCCCTTTTAGAATCACTAAGAAAAGTAGAAGCGTCTACGCTAGGGAGGATTTTTTTTTCCGTGTTTTGATTTTAACAATAGTGGATTGTCGGTTCTTCTTTGTAACCCTTAAGAGCGGCTACAACTTCTGTCTCGTGATACTTACCACGAAATTGATCGTTGACCGCCTCCCCTTTCTCACCCCAGCTTTCATTAAAAATTCGCGCTTTTGCAATGGAGCAATTTCTAAGGTACAACTCGACTAAAAGCCAGATATGACAGCAGACAGCAAGAGATTACATATCAAATGAAAGGAGTAAACCTTAAATAAAATATGTAAGAGATTTCTATAAACGGATCAGTTTTTCACCATTTTCTTTTTCCTTATACTGAGAGGAGACCATGATACCCGTGGTCGTTTTTTGTTTTTTTCTGTGAACCAGCAACTAACTCAATCTGAAGAATTAAAAACTCAACTATTTTGGCAGTAATTAATCTTACACAAAGTAAGATATGACATGCCAAATTAATATCAAAGTTGACCGCTTAATAAAACTGCAGGCTCGATGTGATCAAAGAGGGCGGGTTGTCCTTTTGATTTACATCAGCTTTCAGGGCATCAAATAATCTTCTTTCCACCAACACATATCATGTAAGTCGATTAGTATCAAACAGAACAAGACAGATAATTTTGATCGATATTTTCAAGAGCTCTAACCCCGTTTAACGAAGCACTTCAAACAAATGATATCAAGCCAATAGTTGCAACCAAGGCACCACAGAGACATGTATGTATTATCAAGTTTCTTCTTAGATTTCTTTTGTCAAAAAGTTCGACTAAATGCGCCCTTGAGCATGATGCTCTTCATCAAATACTGCGTTTACTCGAGAATAATCCAAATATGGCTGCGAAAAAGTCCTCAAAAAGGGCTCAACTTGCGCTATTCCGAAGATTCTCAGAAATATCTTAAACATTTCAAGCCAGTTTTAAGTTTATAAAACAAAGATGTGCTTCACGGAATTTTGATGATACAGACAAAAAGCGGTTAGTTAGGTGTAAATTTCATGTCAGCACGGGCAATGAAACAAGTTTCCCAAAAATTTTATCACTGATTTTGGAAGTTCAGTAATGGCTTTCACTTCTCATGTAGGAATCATGATCAGAAGAAGTTGGTCATCGGAGGTATTGGGCCTTAAAATACTCCTATTTTTGGACTTTGTCATAACCAGAGGAATGAAATGAGATGAAAAAGTCAAAAAAATTCAATTTTCTTGAAGTCCGATAGATTTAGAACACAACGCAATTGATTGAATTTGCAGATGGCTTTTCAGTTTGTCACAGCAGCAATGCAAAGGTAGCTAATTAATTATGCAAAAAATGCCCGAAATGAAGGTTTTCTCCGGAGGGACCTTATATCTCCCAGGGAATTAAATATTTTGACGTATTATTTTCACACATTTGTTGGCTCGTGATACTTAGCATTTGTGCCAAGTTCGAGTCTGTAACGTTCTGGAGTTCGCTTATACAGTTCGCTTACAGTTCGCTTACAGCTCCTTTAGTTGTTCGTTATCCTAGATTGTATCACCTCCGTTCTCACTTTACCGTGCATAATAAATACTCGAGTAAATGTCTCCTGGGGCCTTGGGCGTGAACTTGGAGGCCTGGACACTACAGAGTCAAATCGATGATTTGAGCATATCGCTCCCGCCCGGTTCTGCTGGTTTTCTCGTGGACACGCTCTTAAATAAAAAGGCAAAGGAGGTGTTTTGTCGGTTAACCATCAAGGCTCTGAGAGGTAACACGACTATGAAAACAATTTATTCCTGTGAGTTTTAGACACAAATTTCATTGCCCTCATTTTTCTATTTCCAGAGAGCATAAAGCCTTTTCGTCTGGTCTTGCGATTACATTTTCTACGCGCAAATCTCACTGCGGACCGATTGTGGAGTAAACCTAAGTTTTGTAAGTTACGACGCCAGTTTCTATTTTTTCATGGTACTTCCAAGCGGCGTTTTCCAACAGTAATTATAACATAACCAAAGTAAAGCGCGCGCTCTGATTGGTCAATTTAGCGTCCCCCATTTGCCCATGGGTGTACGCTGCTGACGTGAGCAAATGCAAAGACTATTTTTCCGCGCGCGCTTGTTTTTTNTCCCGCGTGCATCCATAACTCAATAGTGTACGCTGTGGTATTTACCATTTGTTAATGCAAAGCTTTCCAACGGGTCAGTCGAAATGATCATTAATCGGGAAATTACGAACCTTACCCCGAACAGTCTATCCTGGTTGATTCGTTCGTTACTTTCTCAGAAAATAATGAGCTCAGCAAATTGCGTCATAAAGCAAAAGAAATACGATCCTTCATTATTCAAATTTTGGGGCTTTTAAATTCATCTTGACATTTTACGAAGCGCATTTATATGCAACCAAGCTGGTTTTTGCTCTAACGCATTTCAAACTTGATTCCGCATTTCTACTTTATCAGAGCCAAATACAACCGTCACCTCTCTAAATTTAGTCGAGACTGGTAACTTAATTCTTTCCGTGCGAATTGATCTGAAATGAACTTCAGCGAGTAAACCCCTTTGTATATTTCATTCTGAATGCTTCGGTCCAAATTTCTAGGCCACACCTTAGCTTGTGAAACAGCTTTTTAATTAGTTCCTCCGTTGCCTTTTTAAATCATGCTTTGCTACGTTATCGTAAAACAGTTTGGTCCTTAATGCTTGTAATTCGCCATTCGGTTGAAATTTGTTTTTCCACCCTAGCAATACCGTTGATAACATTCTGCAAGAGCCTTCCACGCCTAGCTAAAATGTCGACCGCAAATACTGAATTTCCTGTTGCTTTTCACCAAAAATGACATTTAACATATAAAAGCTAAAAATCAGTGCCATTTTTCGAAGGAACCTCGAAATGCACCAAGTTTAAAACCATCTGAAGTTTACTGTTGAAGTTCGAGCCTATTGTATTCTTGCGACGTACCAATAATAAAACTTTAGGATTTTTCCTGTGGCAATGTGTAATTTGCAGGCCACTTAAAACAAGCAAACGAACAACAAACAACAAAACAGTTTCAGAAATCATGACGTGCTAAAGGCAGCTTCGTTCTCGCCAAAAGATCGCACACAAAGCTATTGTGGGATCGTTTCATTCTTACCTTAGTTTTAAATCATTATTAAGGAATTTGGTTATCAAAGGCTGAATAAAAACCTCCAGAAAAGCTTTGGACATGTCCCTTTTTTATATATTCTCAATTGCTCTGCCTTAATTAATAAAAAAAAAAATTAACGGTTTAATCTCTGATATCATACTCTACTTACTCCCACTAGTTGATATCTTAACTCGATTATTAATCTGAAATCAATTTGCTTCATTCCAGTTGAATCTGAAGACCAAGAGGAGACCAGCCAGTCTTTCAAGACAGGAGCAATCGTTGGGGCAGTATGTAGTATTGTGGCTATAGCTGTCATCTGTACTTGTACTACCGTAGTCTATCTTGTCATTCGCCGTCGTAACAGGTGCACGCAAAATGAAGATCTGCACGTGCTCACCTAAATTCCAGACACAAATAAGTTGTGTTGCTCAAACGGACGCATATTATGTTTTAGTTAAGAAGTATTCTTTTGAATGATGAGACCCATGAAGCAACTTGCTAAGGTTTAATTGAGCTGTAGAAGTTGATTAGGACATGCAAGTCCTCACTTTTTTTTTTCAAACAAATAAATTATAAATCGGCTTTTCTTCATATGATGGTAGCTATTGACAGCATTTTCAAAGTTAATCAGTGTAAATTCGTAATAAAATGTTGCATTCTTTCTCGCTTCATCTATATATTTGCAAAACAGCCCTTCGTTTTAATCTCTCGTTATTTCAACACCTTATAAACTTGCGCACAAGCCTTATAGACATCTTTTAAGTTCACACACAATTTAGGGCGTAATGAGAAACACGAAGTTTTCATTACTATTACGTGTGACAAACTTTATACTATATATGTAGCACAGCGACAGCAACGTCGAAATTATACGACGCTTATATCATATGTAACCAACTGGTAGTCTTAGGAAGTATAGCCAAGTCGCATGTGGGCCTAATTGCTTTCCCACTACAGGAGCTTAAGCCCTGCTAGTGAGGCACTTACTACCAGTAATAATAATAATAATATAGATCAATTTCTAGAGCGCATTTCCATGTAAATGCTTTAATGCGCTTTACAACACTGTGCGGGGGACTTTTCCAGACTGCCGGCGGCAGTTTACAATTAATAAAGGAGAAATTTTTACAGATGCCCCCTCCCCCCCTTCCCAGTAAACAGGCCAGACCACATCACAGTAATCTCGTGATGTGGGTTCTTTAACGTCCCTTGCCGAAATTAACTAATTGATAGGTGCAGGAGACGGGACCTCCGGCTTTACGTCCTATCCGAGAAGACGAAGCAATGTGAGTGAAGCGTCTTGCTTAAGGACACAACGTCAAGCCCCAGCCAGGACTTGAACCCGGGCCATCTGACCTAGAGTCCAGCGCACTGACCACTGGACTACTCACGCCTCACAAAATCGGCTAATTTGTCAAATAGTCGCAGGATTCGAGTAAAGGAAACCATGACTTCAAAATGCTATTTTTCACAAAGATGATATGGAAATCATTGTCTAAAATGGCATTATATATTTTCTTACGTCACTTGGAACCGCACAGAAAGTTCTAGCATGAATTTTATACGAAAAGAGTTTCTAAGAGTCCAAAATAGTATACCAAGTAGTTGGAGTGCGATGATTTCTCTTTAGATGTCGAAATTGAATAGGAGTGTATTATTCATTTCGCTATCGTGATTAATGAAAGTACATGCAAACAAAAATTGTAAAACAACTGAATTAAAGAGGAAAATAACAAGTAGTTGCACGAGAAATATCCTAACTGTATATACTGAAAATTTCAAGTGTATGTGGCACAGAAAATCGGAAAAATGATGACAAGCGTAAGGCTGAAGGAGCTAAAACAAGTCGCAGTCAGGATGTTTTGGGGATGGCTTCCCTCCCCTCCTCAACGAAGGAAAAGGTACACGGCAAATCGTGGCCGATGCAGACCATTGCTTCCCTACAGGTTTTGATATGATATTTCGGTTGAATCGACACAGGCACAACTGCTTAACTGTCTGAGATAAATCCCTATTGTGGTTCGTGTGCTTCATTGAAGGGGCTGTGATCGAAACTTGTTGTGTGCGAAGCGTTGATGTTTGTGTAGTTGCGTACTTGTAAACAGCTGTTGCTTAGAGACGAAGGTTCGAGAGAAGACTTAAAAAGGCTTAAAAAAATTATTGATTCGCTTTGATAACGGCGCGGCATCTCGAAGGCATGAGATCAAAGAGGCGGAGCGTCACCTAAGCGTAGCGGTCACAGTGGTTCAAGCAAAACAACTCAGTAGAAGTATGCAGACGATCCTGTTGTAATTAACGAAACTACATTCTCTCTAAAAACCTTAGCATCTTCACACTGACAACGGTGAGTGTCTGATTCATGTTTTAGGCCGTCCACAAAAGAATTATACAAACACATTGAAAACGAAATTTGCCTTCGTCGAATATAACCGTTTTGCGTGTAAACAACAAGCTCTAGAAAATTTCTTGCCTTTTATTTCTTTTACTTTCGTTGCCAAGTTTTTGATAGCCAGAACAAGAAGATATAGTTTATGAGTCGTCTATAGTCGGCAGCCTCACATCTTTGCAAAATACGATAACATCATTCATATTTCCATTCGTCATGCGAAATACCATAAGCGTTTAAAATTCATTCAAATTAGCTATCGGCAAGAGAACATCAAATGATGTTATGATCAGAGATACTTTTACGCCATGACTTAAAAAAAAAACAACGGAGACAGCTGCAACAAAATTTTTAGCGATTTCTAGCTTTAAATTCGTTTTGATTTGCAGTCATTCATTTTTTAAACTTGATGACGATGAAGTGAAATGGCCTTTCGTGTCTATAACAATTATGTTCCAATGGCTGAGTTTTTCCTGCTCAAATGAAAATGATCTAATTGTAGAACATTTTATACAGGGGTTATTGTACAGAATACCGACTCGAACCAAACGTAAATCAGTGATTTAATTTCTTTACAAAGGCTTCCCGCAAACGTGATGCTTTCAGATTAGTTTGAAATAAAACAGATTAACTTTCACATCGCTTGCACAATACAAACAACTGGATCGTAAAAGAGCGCTGAATAAATTGTTTTCACCTTCACGAATATGTCGAAAGAGTACCAAAAATGTCGCTTCATTGATCTCCTTATATATTATAACTTTTTCGGGGATTATGGCGCATTTTGCAGGCTAAAATATAAATTTTGCTGGGTTAAAATGTTTTTGGCCCGCTCGCACTCTCGCGTGATTATTCAGACTGGTTTGTCTTTTCTCTTTTCAATTTTTATTCCATCGATGCCCTTCAAATCGATAATAATAACAACACAGTTTATGTTCTTGGGCATCAATATGTTTTTGGCCATTCTCAGAGTTATTTTAACCCTCGCCAAGTGGCCCGGGCTAAAATGACTCCGAGTCGGGTTCAAAACATATTTATACCAAGCTCCTTTGTTTTATTAGCGCACCATACACCGGTAATAATTTACACAAAAACCCAAGAAATCTAGTGTCTTCTTTGTTCTTCCTTTCTTTTACTCCTGAACTAAGCCATAACGATATATAAGATACATTCAAGGATTTCTTCTATTCCCTAACTGTGACAGTTTGACTAACATTCCTTAGGTTTAACTCCGTAAGTTGGGTAAAGCCACTAAGAAAAGTCTGAATTCTGCGTCAAATGGCTTGGCAATGGATTCTACTCCATGTCGTGGCATTCGCTTTACTGGTTGACTTCAAAGTTAAAGGTGAGACAAACTTCAGATTGTTCCACAAATATAATCAGTAATGAATTATTTCATTCACTGTCAAATAATGATTCATGACGCAAAATCAACTAGACTCAGTACCCGGTACTAAGTCTTGTTCGATTTATTCCGCGATTCTTGAAAAGTCTAAAACAAACAGTTCTAGAAAATTGTTCTACACGTTTACAAAACTCTCACACGACGACATTGAGGTGCCCAAACCTTACCGTTTGAATGAAGATTTCAGAAGAATCACTTCCTCAATGTTGTCGATATTATTGAAACGGATAACTGATGCAAAACTGAAAAATTGGAGAGCATAGAGATATTTCTTGCATTATCCAACTATGTACCGTGACTGTTTCTGGTGTGAAGAGAGAAAAAGGAGCTAAAAGAATACAGTTAATTACACACGCGACCAACTGAGATAGGAAATAAGAAATATGTTCCGGCAGTCGTTGGGGAAGAGGACCAAAATTAAAATTGCCTATCCATATTTTTTGCATTTCCACGCCGATGGCAACTTGCAATCTGTTAGCACTTTAACGTTGTTGATTTACGTTAATAAATCATAAACATAAGGGAGAGATGGTAATTCTTCTTTTCAGACCGGCAGTAAAAAAAATGGCTTCATAGTAAACGCTAAATCAACCTGATTATCCATCCTTTTTTAGAAACGCGAGATTCCAGTTGCAATGTTTTGTCTTTGCCTGTTTTACTTCAATCATTTATACAGTTTTTCATAGCAGTTACTTTTTGTCTTCAGGCATGTCGACGAGTTCAATTGTCTGCAACGATAACCACACAGTAACTATAACCATTGCAAACGTAACTGACATCAGTGCATTCAACGAAAGAGACTGGCGAATCAACAGCAAAGCAGAATGTGAGCCGACCTTCACGAACACGACTGTAACGTACACCAATTTGCCAGTGGCTGAATGCGCTTCAAAATCCGAAGATAAGACCACTTCTATCAGATACGTTTTCGAAATCCGTGCAGTTCCTTCAGGCAGCGATCCGATTCAGGCCTTTGATCATATATTTGACGCGGTGTGTGAGTATGTCAACAACGACACTGTCACATCCAGCTTCATACCGATAGTTAATCGTGGTGATAACTCTTCAGGTATGTTGTGTTAGCTTGCGTAAAGTATCCGCCTGTGTGGAATCTATCATCGTGTTTTGCGGTACATTGGATACCAAATTACCACATTCATTATGTAGCCTTCACGAGGTGGTGAAAACACTCCACATCATTTTCAGTCAATTTGAAAACCGAAAAATAAAATTTGCTTTCTAGCTACATTTGTTCGTGAAGAAGTTCCACATGAGAAATTTTATCAGGTCATGATATCAGATTATGTACAGACATTTATAGCAGAAGTTGTGTGGGAATGTAATCTGAAGTTTTCATTCATTTAAGCCTCGCTCTGTGCAAAACTGATACCTATTACTTTCTAAAATAGGTACTGCAGCTTTTACATTCAACCTTGACGTTTCTGAGAATTCCCAGTTTACAACTGCTCTTCCCAGCGAAGTGGCGCTCAATCAACCATTATTTTTCCGAGCTCAAGTGGTAACATCAAGCGCTGCACCAAACCTGGATCTGTTCATCTTGCAATGTCACGCATCGGAATCGGACGACTCAAATGCTGTGGCCAACAACGTAGTACTCATTCAAAATGGGTAGGTTCCTTCTTGAGGTTTCCCGGGGTAACAAAAGAATAACGTATTTTATTATCTTCACCTCTAATTAGTGTGACAATTCAAAGAGCAATCCAAAATTCCGAGAATTGTCTCCAAGTGAAATTGATGAAACTTAGACAATGGACGCCGCCATTTTGAATCTAGCTGAGCAGCTGGCCGCTGACCTGTGTCGCCACAACTTCTTAAGCAGCCTTCTTCCATACAATTGGGAACAAAACCAGTACAGTAGTAGTCACGTTCCCGAGTTGTTTTCAAAATGGCGGTTACCCAAGTCCTTTTTTTTTTTTAATTTATTCAACCATGGTTAGGTTACTCAGTTACTCATCCCAGTATCTTAAAACAGCTTTATTATGTCGCTCTCAGTCATTTAATTTGTTTGATGGTCAACATTCTCATCTTTGATTCAGATGCGGAAACAAAGCAGTCAGTCAAGACTCAGGTGACACTTTGACATATACTTGCACGAACAACAGCAAGCAGGAGACCTTTCAAGTAGATTCTTTCCGTTACTTTGGAGCGGAAGCCAACGCTTTGGTCTATGTGCATTGTGAACTTAAGGTGTGCCTTTCGGATGCTGCAGATTCTGCATGTGAATGCCCGTCTTCGGCTGATTGCAGCCCTAATGCTCGAAAACGGCGAGCAGTTAAAGTTGATGAATCTGTGGTGTATCGCGTCACGACTGGTCCTTATCATTACAAGGAAGTAGAGAGAGAGGAAAAAGGTATGCCGGGTTTATTTTCATAATATCACGTTTAATAAATAAAATAATAAATAATAAAAATGATAAATAATAAATAAATAATGATAAATAATAATCTTTATTCTCTCAAGATAAAAGTACATATCTCAAGTTACAATATTAAAAGATGATCTAAGAATCATTAAATATTAAAAAGATAATCTAAGAATCATAAAATATAATGTTATTTTGCTCTCTTGACGTAATTCATTTTTCATGAACGTGAGACGTCGAAAAACTCTTTGATATTTTAATCAACGGAACGCATGCCTTTACAATGCAACAGACCTTTGCTTGCGTGGGCCTGGCATACTTCTTATTAATTTTAAGCGCCAAAAAAGACTAAAAAAAGCCATGACCCATTGTAAAATATGTAGAAATTCTTTCCTCACGACATTCTTTTTTCATTCTGTCATCAGATCACAACGACAAGAGACCTGAAACAGGCGAAGATCACCCATCATTTCAACTCAGTTTAAGTGTCGCCATAGCTTTCTCAGTCAGCGGTGTCATCATAGCATTAATTATCTCCCTAACCGTGTGTTTCATTTCGCGCGGACGTCACCAGCGTTCTTCCATCACCAAGTTGAACGAGTCGCTTGATTACAGTGTAAAAACATAAATGCTTGACGGCTTTCTCCTCAAACTTTTTGGACCAGTTATTCACATGAGGTCTAACACGAACCACGGTTTTACGCTACCAGTGGCCGGGCCTCAGGATTTTTTTCTATAGAAGGGTTGATTTAGTTAAATAGACTTCCTTTCACTATTGGCTCTCAGCCCTCTCGACGGTGTTCACAAAAATAAATGTTTAGATAAAACTCAAGATTCGGGTAAGTTGAAGATGGTTCAGAGCGCGGTTTTATTCAACAACTGCTAAACTTTGTTCAAATAATCTGACGTTCGGTAGGTCTTTATTTGAATCATAAATTAATTATTAGAGAATTACCATCGAAGTTAAAATCTTCGTCTTTTTTATTGCAACGAGATTTATTCCCGATAACTTTACATACTGGTATTACTTTTCTCAGTGATCGTTTATAACCAAAAGATGTGCACTTTGCTAAAGCTACAATATTATACCCATTTTTTTCAGAATTTGCTGCTTAATTTTTTTTAGATTCAAAATTTGGGAGAAAACGGCGACGAAAATGAAAGACAAGAATATATTGTTTATATTTGGTCCGCATGGAATTGATGCCAATCCCCTTTAAGGTGTGTAACAAATGATGATGCAGTTTTTTTAAAGTATCGATCATGCAGATATTGGTTTTGAAAATTTCCAAAGGAAGTCACTTTGTTTCTTTCTGAAGATCTCATTTTCAGGATCAGGTGGATCGTACATAGCTTTAACACTTATATTATGTTATTGACAACAGGTTCCATGGCCCGAATTTACCAATAGAAGATGATAATATTATCACCAAAATATTTTGGATTTTAATTAGTCCTGATGATAAAAAAAGAGAAAAGACAATTCTTTTAGTTTGTTGTTGATATTTTTCTCTTTGTTTCATTGTTTTTTTTGTCGATTTATTTTGTGTTTCTTTGGTTATTTCTTTTATCTGTTTTGTTCCTGTTGCCTTTGTTTACATTCGGTTTATTCTAACAACATTCTTGATTCAGCCCTAGCTGATTTTTTTCCCCACCAAAATCTTGCAGGGACCATGCATCATTTTCATTATTACTGCTACGCTATGTTCCCTTTTTTTTTTTTCGATAATGGGGTCTTTTTAAAAGAGTCGATGTCTGTTTCAGAATGAGAAGCTTTTGACTTCCCTCACTCCCACTCTGATCCGCTACGTCTCCCTGCATCTCTGATACGCTGACATCGATACCAGTTTTGAGAACTAAGATTGTTACCTAATCGATTGAGTTACATTTGGGCTTAAAAAAATATACCAAATTCTGAGAACTGTATATCAGAAATTGCTAGAAATTTTGGACTAATCAAGGAGAACTATAGCTAGTTTCTTTTATGACACACTGGATTAGTTGTCAATCTTTTACTAGCTAATACGAACGATCAGTTAGAGCTTAGGTAGAATTTCAGTTCAGAACGCGCTATAAATCATAACCTTTAGCAAAAAGCTTCAGGATGATGCCATGATATCAAAATAAATTAATAAGAAATGATATTACAATGAGGATATAAAGAGTCTTCAATTCTTATTCCGTACAAAGTTGCATTTAGAATGAAATGAGTTCGTGTGTCGTGGCAAGTTCTTATTTGATTTCCAATTCTTCTCCTCAAAAGCCTGATATTCATTAAAAAAAGTGTCCCCTTTGATGATCTTATTATATTTTCATCAACATGATCTCTAGATGGTTGAAATGGAAACTTACAAAGGAATCGCATATCCACAAAACTGAAATAATACCTGGCGTGTTACTCCCTTAATTCTTCAGTTATCAAATGATATTACAATCGTTACTAGAGTTTTTGAAAAAATGTGCGACTCTAAAAGAACCTTCAAGTGCCCGATGCATGATTTATTTACAAAAGCACTTCAGCCGGCGGTTGGCCGCACCGACTGAAGTTGTGCGTGCAAACGTAGTTTTTAAAGGAAGTTGTTAATAAACAACACTTTGGTGTTTTTAAATGTTTGGATGAATCTCTAATTAAACCTGGGTTTCGTTGAGCATTGTTGTAGGACAAGTTCGGAATCTCGTGCTTCCTTCGTTCAAGGTCATGTTCATAGGAGCCACTCGAAGAGCTTGTCGTATTGTCGCTCCGCGCCCGCACCGGCCTAGAAGCCTCACAAACGTTTTTCGCAGTTCTGAGTCGCGGAAGGCGTACACCAATGGATTCATAGCGCTGTTACTATACTGAAGCCATTTGGAAAACAAAAGAAAACCCGAGAGTTCGTGGAAAGGAAAGCACTCTCTGCAAAACACTGAGATAGTGCTTACTGTGAAGAAGGACAACCAAGAAACGAGAAACAGCGCAGTCATAAATGTCAGCGTAAGGGCTATGCGGCGTTGTTTGTTTACGTTCTTGCGTATTTTGTTGCTTTCTTCCTGATTTGTTATCGTTGGGAGATTAGAGATCAGCGTCCGAGCCACCTTGAAAATGGAAATGTTGACGACGCTGACGAGAATTCCTGGCCCAACATAACCAACGAACGTCAAAAACGGAGTGTAAATCCTGTGCGGATTATTCTTTGTGTTACTCAAAGAGTTATCCAAAGCAGGTCGAATCGCAGCTATCGCTAAAGCGGTCGTCCAAACGCCGCATAAAGCTATTGTGTAGTGTGCCGTGGAGAGCGCCTCGTGAATAAACGGGCGCGAAATGGCAAGCCATCTTTCCAGACTAACGGTTGTCAGGTGGAAGATTGAAGCCAGCGCACTTAAGATGTCGAAGGAGATGAAAAACGTAGACAGAGGTCCATCTTGTACGCGTCTCAGTCTGATATATATCCACAGAGGCAGAGACACACATCCTACCAACAGATCCGATATAGCGAAACTTACCAGAAATGTGTAAGTACCAGTGCGAAGTCTAACGTTTGAAAAATACGACGCCACTACAAAAGAATTTCCGGTTATGATCACAAACATGAGGGCTACGCAAAATAATATCTGGAGAGCTGAGCTCCAAGACATTTCAAGCACCATCGTTTAAGATCTCTCTGTTAAATTAAAGACATTGCCACTTACACTGAAACATGCTTTACACTCGCAAAATCGTCATCATGACCTTCATTTGAAAAAGTCCACAAATCCGCAACTGGAGTTTTAAAGTTGACTTTGACGTTGTTAGTGTTGCAGAACTAGCCTTAAGGATTCTTGTTTTCATTCAGAATATGATAAAGACCAACTCTTCTGACAAGTGTTCCGTTATCTGCAAAGAACAAAGGACAAAACTGCACAAATTCGTCGGGTTTTCTCTAAAAAGATAGAAACCTATTAGTGATCTTTTTCACACTGCCACAATGAAAAGGACACATTTAATCATCAAAGAGGGAAACTGATGGTCACCTTATGAAAACAATCCCAAACCTTATACCAACAAGACTGAAAAATTGAACGATCAATTTCACTTCAACGTTTATCACGTCCTCGAGTGTCTTCGCTTTTCAAGTAATGATAAACACCCCTTCACAAAATTGGCCTCCATGCTTTGTTTTATGCGAACACAATCAAAAATATACTCCATTTACAAAAGAAATGGTTTGCCTTGCTTTTAATCAATTCCCGTTCGCAGGAGTACACAGCTGCCCGCGCTGTTGGCAAGGCTTTAGAAATGCAAATTATCGGGAAAAGCCGTCATTCTTTTCCAATCACCATTTGATTTAATGCATTACTAGATAAGAAACTCTTTTTTCGTTGCAGTTTTAAGCTTTTTATGCAGTTTCCTTTATAAAACAATAATCAGATAGAACGAAGAATAATCTTAATTCTTAACTTATATACGAAGAAATAATTTGTGGTGGCGCTGCATATGATCAAAAGCTAGAAAAGAACAACACCAGCTTAATGACATTCTGTTTCATTGATGGCCAGCTACAGTGGATTGACAGAATTTGAGTGAAGTTTGTCAATATAGCATCCGCTAATCCCTCATATTGCACAACATTATAATATTAGGACACTCTTGGTCTTAGAGCTCTTCATTATGAAACGTACCGAATCTTTTTGTTATTTCCTTTTGTTTTATGCTAGGCCCACAATTTCGATGGTAGAACTCTAGGGTTCAGAATTTCAATTTTCTTGCGCAACAGGTCAAATGCCAAGAGTTTAAAGGCATTATTCAATGCTAAAGCATACTCAGAAAAAGGAACTTCCGGCCATATCTACTATTCTAAATTCGAGCCATCTCTTATCATATGCATCGCAGACTGACTAGGGTAGCGAGATCATCCTCAACAAATTGCTTCCACAGTGATATCACGCTTATCGATGGAATAATTTTTCGCAGTAATGGAAATGGTGGTTTTTGAGTTTTAACACTTTCCTCCTGTGGATGATAATCACATAACCTGATACGATGCATGGTTGGATCAATATAAACAGGACCAGTTCGAAATTCCGATCACAAAGTCATAGATTGTATGTCATCGTTAAGCACTGATTGTCTGAATAAAAACATCTTCGTTATGAAGATGGGCGGAAGCTCGAAACGTCAACTTCGGTAGCCAATTTCATTATCAACTCAGTTGATGACACAAAATTACCTTTATTATCTCCACCAACGCAGCACCAAAGCTTCTTCAGAAGCTTACCCCCTGAAAAATATCATCGTTCGCTTTTATCGTCTGACTTAAAATGGATCCTTCTTCCTTCCATCAGTGCAAGCTAAAGTTTTATTAGTAATTATTTTCAAAAGATGGAATAATTTAATCTCAAGCTCAACCTGCTCCAGCTCATCAATAATCTGATAGTAGCAGCGATTTACGAAGAAATGTGGAAATTTTTAGATCAATCTGAAGGCTAATGCATTTTTTTATTACGCGCTAAAGTTAGAGTATTATCTAGATGTGACACATCGCAATGTTTTCCGCAATTTGGAATTTTGACGAGGCATAAATTAAATTGACAACTCGGGTAAAGTGAGTTTTAAACTCCGGTAAAAAAAAAAAAAAAGTTAAATAGCGTCCTATTGTCCGACTGTCAAACTTGACAATAACTAAACAAACACATAAAACCTTTAAAGTGATTTTTGTCAGTTAGGTTATAAAAAGGAAATGGTATTGCCAAACGCGAGAAATTTATACCCTCATAAATTGCCTAATTTCTTGCAGCTTGAAAAGATTCTGTTTTTGTGAAAAGGAAATTTTCACGTCATATTATCTGAAAATGACTCGACAACTTTTTCGAATAATTCTCACATCATTGAGTCAAAAGACTTGACACAATTCGCTGGATAACTTAATGGAAAAGTCTGTCTCTTTTATATACGTTTTCATTTCGTTTCCATTAGTACTGATTTTTCTGCGAAAACATTTTAAGCAAATTCACCCGAGAAGAGGCACAGAAAAACAAGGATTTGTCATGTCGGTCTTGATATGTGATAGAGAGGAAAAATCATGCATATTGCCACTATGTCTGAAACGTTCGAGAAAATTAAGTATAGGATAATCATCAAAATTCTTCAAAATATGGGGAATTACTTAGGCTCAGTATTTAAATATGAATTTTTAATTTTGCGTTAAAAAAAATATTTATATATGTCCAGTCTAGCAAAGGCACACTTTTAATATGTACAGCTTCTCTTGCCATACAATGACAGAACCTATGTATGAGCCATCGAAAAAATATATTAAATGTTTTGCAGACGTTGGTGCCCGTGTTTGATATAAGTCAGGTAAATATCAAATAAGTCAAATTGCCTTCTAAAAATATGAGTGTAAAGAAGGAGTATTGGCCAAGTTAAATTACAATTTCGCGAGGAAAGACAAGGTCGTTCGTAAAAGTGAAGTAACCTTTCGATGCTATTAGTTTCACTTGATTCAAATAAGCTTTTGATGAAGAATTGCAAACTTACCTGTAAGGAACACTTATCTGTGTTTTTCTTTAGTTGGATGTTACAATATTTGACGAGCCCTATTCTGAGAAAAACTATTCCAGTCGAGATGTCCACACTGTCATTTTAAAGAGCACTCCTGTTTGTTCGAAGGTTTTTCTATTACCATGATAATACTTTGGTGATTAAAACAGAATTTGAACGAAATTGCTTGCAATTGTTTTCGAGTTACTATTGCTAACAAACAGGCGCCGTTGTCAAATCTTATATCAACAACACCAGCCAATTGGATCGCAACAGGCTCTGCGATTTTACTTATGACAATCACCAGAATACATTCATATTAAAAAAAGAATATTCCCGTTACTTAACAGCGTTTAACGCAGTTATCTGGAAATCACTAAAGCTGAATGGATGATTTTCTTAAATAGGTAACCCAAAACCTCAGATTCTTTTTATTGATCAGCATCGTGCTCGAAATTTCATAATAAAGCACTTTCCCATCGCCACTGCATGATGTTAGGTCTCTCTGAGAGTGAGGTAAATTTATTCACATGTTTTGCTTATCAAATCAACTTTGGGACAGCATTGTTAAATGCTCTCAATTTTTGATCTTCGAAGAAACAGAATGATAAAAAGCATGATCTTCCAACCTGCGATCATTTGAAATGTTCTTTAGGATGGTTTCCTTGACCTTAACCCTGAAATATTTTTGACAAAATTGAAGAAAACTTAATGTATCTGAAAAAAGGCACGTTCAAATTATGGAAAAGTACACGTTATTATTGGAGAACCATCAGCAATTCGTTTTACGAGAATTTAGCAAGTGTAGGCGTGAATAACAGATAAAGGCTGGCCGCCAAAAAAAAGCAGTGAATAAATGCTTACCGCATGCAAATATCCGTCAGTAATTAAAACTAACAACAAGCTGGTCAAACGTTTGGTCTAGAGGCGCCTCCCACCGCTGTGGTCCAGGTTCGATTGCCGGACCTGGCGTCACATGTGGGTTGAGTTTGTTGTTAGTTCTCATCCTTGCTCCGAGGGCTTTTTTCCGCTGGGTCCTCAGGTTTTCCTCCCTTCGCAAAACCAACATTCCGATCTGGAAGCAGTGGACAAGAAGAGACACCCATTGTCCAATGTCCATAGCTAGATTATTCATTTATTTATCAATTTACTATCATTTATTTGTGTGTATTCTCTGAAGGAACTATAGATATGTGAGCAGTATTCTCACTTGACACATCTACCCATGTTCTCTACAGAAAGAAAGTATGACGATCTGATGACAAACCATACTAGATTACGTTCAAAAAACATCTTTCAATTTGTCTCTCGTGACAATCTTTCGTGAGTTAGGTCTTAAGGAAAATGCCACCATTTCTCATGGAAGCCGACAAAAACACAAATTTCGTAATTAGACTCAGCACATTGGTAGTCAGTCTTTCCCAAACTGAACGAAAATGCGTGGGAGATTCAAAGCCAAATTCTTGATATTTTTTAAAACGTGGCGAAAAGATCTGAACTCCAGTTCATTTCTTTTAGCTGCAAGCTAGATACAAGGATGTTTTTTGGATTGTGGATATGCATGAATGCACCAATATCAAAACATCTACGAATTTCGATCAGCGGTGGACATTTTCAAAATAAAAACTCGACGCTTCTCCATATTCTTCATCTTTTACTTCACTTTCCTGTCTATCTTCACCTGAAGAGTGCTCCGACTCCAACTAATGGAGAAGATCTGTGAAACATTCACTATAAGTTTCTTCAGACGACAGCAATATAGCATTAATAAAACATCCCCATTCAAGGAAGGAAAGCTTGATGAACCAATATTATCAAGGGGAGAGGAAAGTCACCATCACTGTTACACCTATCACAGGTTTGTTCGTTTCTGATTGGGTGCCTTTTTTACCATATATATCAATGATGGCTACCTTCTGTCTTCGCTGCCTTCTTTCGTCGCTAAATACACCCGCCTAGCTGATTCCTAGCCTGATTGTGCTAGCACAACCTGAACAGTGGTGTAAACCCATCTGTGTGTGCTCTTCGTGACCACTAAAAGAGAGTGACATTGTTAAGACTTTTGAGTCTTTGACATGTTACTCGTCCTTTCAACAGAGGAGAAGCAATTCCTTGCGGACTACCAGTGCACTTTCAAAATTAATCCAAATTCGGCCTTGTCAAAATGCATAATCCTTACGGATTCTGGCATGAAAAGCAACAGCACAACAGAGCAACACTGACGGAACACCAGAGTACCAAGGGAGTGGCCGAGGGTGTGCATATGATAATAAACTCTAAAAGAATAATAATTCATTATAATGAAGCAACTGCCCGGCATTCTCACCCACTGAATGAGAGTAGAAACTTTGGGCAAACCACGACGACGACGACGGCAACAGCAACGGGCGGGGACGTGGCGAAAATATAAATTGGATAAGCAGAAAATTAGCTCTGCCCGTACTTTTTAAAACTTGGCATATTTCCAACCAATCTCTGCAAAACAGCCACGTAATATCATCACAATTTTCATGATCTGAGAACGAGAACTCAAACGGAAAACTATTTACTATTTAATCTAGAACTCAACACTGCCTCAACAACGTTTTACGACCTAAAAGTATTGACGAAAATCAATTTTTTTAAGCTGCTAAACCTTATGCGAGTGGCAATTTCTACCATTTTCTGAAGTCACATAAATGAAATATCACTATATCTGCTTTCTTTGAGAGGGCAATAGTTGTTACGATCTCGAATGTCAATATTCTGGAAAAAATGGGACCTTGCTTAACACTTCTGCGTTGTTTAGAAGGGAATCGTCTCCTTCAACCTCGGACAAAACCCGTTGAGACACATTACAAAAATACCTACTTTTTGCACTCCCCCTGACAAAAATGCTTCCCGTCGCAAATTTAAAAATTTTTCCCCCCCTCACCTATTGCAATGTTGTTTGCGGTAATACAAGAAATGCATGCTTGAGCTGTTAAGCCCCAACAACATTATACCAGTGGTGGGGAGGGGGCCAAGTTTGTTCCTTTTGGAAACGATTGTTGCATGGCGGGAAATTAAAAATCGCATTGAAATGTCTTAACAGTTTTTCCCGGGGTTGTAGCTTTATGCCATGTAGTTTCTATGAGTTTCTAGTGAGTCCTCGTGAATAATTTACTACCCACCGCACTCCTGTCAAGAGCTGGGTATTGTGTGCCAATGCACCACTAATTCAATGTATCACTAATTCAGCTAGCCTTGCAAAACACCACTCCACTTAAGAGGCTCCTCCCATTTTAAGAGGCTCCCCCCATTTTCGTCCCGTTCTCAGACGCAGTATGATTATAACACATCATAGGTAGGGGTTACACTTGCAAATTTCCCCGCGCTTAAAGTGATGTGTTTATAGTGCTGCGTTTCCCAGAGTATCTGTGGGCTCGCATTTACGCGACGAGAAGGACTGGTAAAGAGAGTGAATTGGAGTAAATGGAGTAAATTAAAAATATCATTCACCGGTCAAAGTCGTTTCGTATGGGAAATACCTCGTACAGCTTTTTTTTTTTTCCCACACAGATCTCCTGCTCGGTATATAATGAAATATATGTAATTTGTCATAACTTCCCATATATCAGCCGCAGTTCAGTTCAATTTTCAAAAGAACCGTACTGCCGATAAGATGTTTACCATTTGGCACCAGTGAACGTCTTTCTTTCTTTGTTCCAAGTTTGCTTTCAGCAAAAAATTAATTCAAATCCCTCAAAAAGTTAAACCAAAAGCTTTGCTCTCGATGGTCTGTCAAACATGATTAATTCCCGTTCTCAGTGATAACGACCTTCATTATGGCTTTTTTAATCTAAAGTAGGAGAATTGTCTGAAAAAAAAAACTATTAATTTTCTGCTCGGATAGACCCAAATTCATCATCTCCATTGTCTTCTGGTTTGTGTATGCTTTAAATATTAGTTTAGGATAATTGTGAAAATAATAACTTTTTTCCATAATGGATCTACTGATTAAATTTGTGTACTTGGCATTTTGGAATATGCTTGAGTCATTATGAAATTTTCGATGAAAACGTGTTAGTTGGAAAATAAGACCAAATAAAGTTTTCACTATAATTACATTTGAAAATTTTCGTCCAAGTTGAAAGATGTCACCCTTTCAAGGTTCTGATTATTAAACTTGAAACGATTTTTCACGCCTAGTTATCAAGATAACAAAGTCATCGGTGTAGAGAATTTAGGTCTTCTTTTGTTGATCAGTGGGAAAAATTTCGAGGTAAAACAAAACATCTTTAATAAACGCCTTTCAAAATGTCATCTCCTATGCATGAGGATTCAAACGTCTCCGGAATCGAGGGTGCAGGGTAAAAGAATACATCCTAAAACGCTTAGCTTTTAAAGAATGTCACCTTGCTTCCACGATGATTCAAACATCTTCGTATTCAGGTTTAATTTATATTTACTAAGTCTTTGAAATGTATGTGTCATTAATGAAGAAAGAAAAAACTAATGAGTGTTCTTTCCTCCGAGAAGGAATGATTCATTTTGGGGATGAAACCAAAAGGACTCTTTTAGATAGCCGTGCTTTTATTATTTACTCGCTCAAACACCTTTTAGCTCTGTGCTTTATTGGAATATCTTTCTAATTCAATTATTGGCCTCACGAACAAAGATAGAGTTCTTTCTTTTTTTTTTTTTTTTTTTTGCAAAGACATGAAGACCTGCATCAGTGTAAACATGTCAGCCAAGGCAAGCTAAGTAACTTTCGCAAGCGGCAACTGACGCATCGGATGATGTGTTTGGTAGAATTTGATTACGTCGGTAAACTTCTTACTCCCACTTGTTTGTGGAAGGGTCTTTGCTGGATGTAGGCAAGTGGATATAATCAACAACTTGCTTTTGAACGCAAACTGAAATCTGATCGAAAGACAAAGATTGTCGTTTCTTTCGACATCCTTGTAAGTGGATGCTGCGTGGGCAGTGCTGTAGCCAGATTTCAGGACAAGACGAGGCAAGTTTCGGGCGCCGAAGGCGCGAGCCGCTAGAGGGGTCTGGGGGCATGCCCCCCAGAAAACTTTGAAATCTAGAGGTTTATAAATGCTCTTTTAAGGATTTTCCGTGGCATTTTCATTTCTTCAGAAAAGTCAATCTTTAAGAAAAAATATTAAAAAAGGCCAAAATTAAGACGAGGCAATTTCCTCGTCTTGCCTCATGCTAGCTACGGCCCTGGTGGGTGAGATGTTCAATGCAGAAAGAGTGCTTTGTTTTGGAGAGAAGGGGATGTAAAATTTGAGACATTCGACTTATCTTCACGCTGGCGAAATAAAGTAGTTCTTGATACAAAAGTTTAGTTTATTGTATGATAAATTGAAGAAGTTTAGATTTCCAATGAATTGCTCTCACATAAGATTGCATTTAACAGCATTTTCTGGAGGTCATTGAAATCGTCAGCGCAGTTTAATTAAGAAGCACTCGGTAAAAAAGGCAGGTGGAGTTGAATCAGCGTAATAAATGTTATATTCATGAACACATCCTAAAAAAAGAAAATAAACCTCAGACCCCCATTTACAAATACATAAAAATTGTGTTAGAATGAAGAATGCATGTCTCGTCGCTTTTCTTAAAAAGAAAGTGTTCAACAGATCAAACGGGCAGAACAAGCTAGCTCCAGATTTCTGTTCAGAGAGATAAATTCATAAATATTTTAGCATGTATAACCTTTTTACGGCAATGAGTTTGGAAAGTTCTGTGCGTTTCCAATGACGCAAAAGGGACTTTGTTCGACTATCTTTCGTTTTTATTCGGGCAGCCCGAGAGTCTGATTTGTAACGTTCACGTATCATTTGTCGGCAAGTTTTGGATCGCACAAGTACATGCTACTTGTCAACCGCCGGGTAAGGTTGTGGTTGACACGTTCAAACGAACCAAGTTCAAGGTACCGGGCCTCTAGGTCTCGTTTGATATTAAACTAAGCGTTTATGCTTGTCCACTGGGGCTGACCCTCTCGAATTATCACCTGGTAAACAGCTTGCGAGAACCCATTCATACCCTTAGACGAGGAAGGGCACGGTTAGTGTAAACTGTCTTGCTCAGGAACATGACATAACGGCCTGAACAGAACTCCTGGATCTGGACTGCAGTTCATTCAGGATCCCTCAGGTTACAGTGACTTCCACATGCTTTTCAGTAATTTTGGTAAAAAATTCATTAACCGTACCACTCACATGATACTGCGCAGCATTGGAACTACCTAAATGATAGCACTGTATGGTGCGGCCGGTCAGTTGTTTGATTCCCCAGGGCCTTTCCTGTTTGGCGCTCTTATGACGAGTGACGCGCTTAAATCCTAACAGTGTAAGAAATGTTCTTCTCATTTCACTGTCCCGTTGAGCATACACCAGTGGGTTGACACCACTGTTCAGATAGTGTGCACCCTTAACAATGACAATAAGCCATGTGAAAGTTTTTGGCGACGAAGGAAGGCAGTGAAGACAGTAGGAAGCCGTGATAGATACGATAAAAAATGGTACCCAGGTAGCAATGAACAAACCTGTGATGAATGCCACAGTGATGGCCACTTTTCTCTCTCCTTGATAATATTGGCTCATTAGGCTTCCATTGCTTACTCGACTCCCAGGGGGGTAGTGTGGGTTGCGTTGAAGGAGAGAGCGCGCGACTGAAAAAACGCCGACGTACATAATAAATATAATGGCGGCGGGAATTGCGAAACCGATAATGAACATAACAGTGGCATATACTCGACTGTTCCAAGGGATTTTAAGAACAGACGGCATAGTAAAAGACGAGAAGGAAGCCAACAAGATGGCGACAAGCCATGCAGATGTTATCATTGCCCGTTGAAACAAGGACGGTAAACTTTTGTAATAAAACGGTCGAGAAACGGCGATGTAACGTTCGATGCTTATAGCAGTTAAATGGTAAATAGAAGCCAGCGCTGAAAAGACATCGAAAGTTTTAAAAACGGCTTTAAAAGCAACGGATCCATTATCGACTATGATAAGATTGTAGATCCACATCGGCATCGATATACTTCCAACTAGAAAATCTGACACGGCTAAACTGACGAGGAACGCGTTTGTTCGAGTTCTCAGTCGCCCGTTAATCTTGTAAGATGTGATGACAAGAGAATTGCCAAGTAATATCACTACAGCAAGAAGAATGGAAGGCGCTTGAATGTTGTGGAGAAGGACATAATGGGACCGTTGCCATTTGTGAGTGTCGTTTGGATTCTGGACGCTCGTGGCATTAATTAATGATAAGGTACTCATTCGAGTTGTCTTGTAATGATGTACTGTGAAAAAGAAAACAGTTTTCCACGAACTGTTTCCCAGCTACGTCAAACTTCGACGAAACAGGATCAATCACAAGCTTAGCGAAACGTCAGTTGTTTTATACTTTCGATGAAGTAATGAAACCTTCTTCCGCTAAAATTTCAAACGAAAGCTAAACTTTTGACGATCTGTCAGGCCTGAAAGAGCAATTTCGACAAAGGTGGTATTTAATGACAGCTTATGATTTAAGTGCTAGAAACAGTTTTTCGCTTATTGAAAGAAAGCTGTCATAAAACAAACATCACCTGTCTTTACGGACAGAATCAATTGATTTTCTTCATTGTGGATTTGTCTTTACCTGTTTTCTACTATTTACTTGTAATACTAGCGAAAAAGATTACTAGGCTTGCACAGCAACAGTTCTACATGTATCGATAATAGCATATTGAAATTCTTTACTTAAGAATCGAGAACGATGAACGCTAGATTTGTGAATTGATGCATCTTATTAGGATAAAAAATCATTTTCTAAACAATATTTTTTGTTTTAGATGCGATTTCTTGCTGCCATATTTTAAGAAGGCCGTTTGTTTGGAAGTAAATGTGTATTTCAAGATGATAGACTTTGGTGAAACTGCATAAAAAAATCCTTCTTGATTTGGAGCTTGTCATTGCGATGAAATAGGGATAAAAAGTTATGAAGAAGTTCAAAATGAGCTTTCTTGCATTATCATGTAAAATATATTATTTGCTGTTTTTAAAAGCCATTTATTTTATTTTTGCATGTGTTTTTTTAATTCTAATGCATCAAAAATATATCAAATTCCTAAATATGAACGAACACAAACACGTGAGTGACAATCGGCCTACAAATGACGTAGAGACGCTTTATTGGGTCATCCATTCGTAAATATGAACGAACACAAACACGTGAGTGACAATCGGCCTACAAATGACGTAGAGACGCTTTATTGGGTCATCCTTAATAGCGTCAGCTATTTTAAATGAAATCTCAATTGGCCGATCAGATAACTGGATTGCTCTGTCGTGAAATCATAAAAATTTCCATGTACGTTTACTCTAATTAGAGGAATATTTTTATCATAAAGCTCGCCTTGTTTTGGAGATAAAACGCCCAAATTTGTCATTTTGGCGAGAGAAAGACTTTTTTCTTTGTCTATAACTTAAAATACACAATTAATTGTAAAGTCTATCTAGACAACAAAGAGAGTTTTTATGCTTTTGATGCTGTATTATCAAACAAGCTAAGTTAAATACAGGCCATATCTGACGAACGAAGAGCAAGTAAGGCTTGTCGTTGGTATAAGGTGCGACAAGTGTTATTACAAAATTTGACAATTTTATTACAAAGTGCGACAGGTACAACCCATAATAAATAATCCCATCGACTTCTTCTTGGGGATTAGTCAACAATATTCACTTTGTCTTCTGTGAATAATTGTTAACTAGTGAGCAAAGTGTGCTAGCGCCGTCGTGGTTTTTCTATGGCGCAAACATTTCTTTATCAAAAGGCTTTACATTACAACAATCATTGCGCTATGAAAACACGTAATTCTCAAAATTGAGAGGGAATGCTATTTTTCCCAGAAAGTAATCTTCCAGAAATTGTTCGACAGGTTTCATAACACGAAACTTGAAATGCACAATATCACGCTCTTTGTACCACGCAACCTCGGGTCCTCCGGTACCTCCTGGGTAGGACCTGGTAAATGGGTAAACATCAAGCACCTCTAAGCCAGCCTGGCACATGAGGGAGGTTGCAAAAGAATTGTAGAGTGCCACACGCTGCAAAGTGAAAAAATTATTAACAAATGGTAAAAACCACCGGGTACACTATTGAGTTATGGATGCATGCGGAAGGTTGCTAAGCACGAAAGAAGCATAAGAGTCGCTCGAGGTGATAGCTGAGAGTGACTTTGGGTTCTTGTGGTGTTTACCATTTGTTTTATAACATAAAAAGAAATTTCCTGCGAAACATTTGCTCACGTCAGCAGCGCACACTGAGTTGACCAATCAGAGCGCGCGCTTTATGTAATTTATGTTATAAGTAATAATAATACTGATAAGGCTTGATTGAGAGTTTTTCAAGAACTGTATTCGAGCTTTTAATCATTTTAAAGTAAAAGTTTACAAACCAAAAAATACCAAACTCAGGAAAAAATTTTAAGCCACATTTCTCAAGGCATTTTGAATTCTTCTCCTTAAAACTAATCTTCAAATCTTGTGGGAAAATGGAAAGAGAGTGAATTTAAACTGGGCGCGTAATAGAATAAAGCATGAAATAACAAAATGACCGGCGGAAAAACCGACTTTTTTTACCGGCTGATGATCCTTTGGAAAAACTCAACACACAAAATAACTACTTGAAAGCGTCAACGGCAATATCTACGTTCCCCTAACTTACCGGTAAAGCGAGAAATCTTCTGCGATCACTTGTTAGCTGACTTCCAGTGTCCTTTTCCTTACTAATAGAAGTGGACGTTTTCCATATAACACGGGCCTTATGCTTCAGTTCGCCTGTATCTTTATTTCTTTCGTTCAATAGATCAATGACCTTCAAAAGAAGTATTCTATAATCTTGCAGTTTTATGCTCTCCATGTAATGCAGTCCAAGATTCAAAATTAACACATTGTTTTGGCTCATATCCAGTCTTTCCACCACACTCCTGAGACTATCGAGAATTATGGACTCATCAAAGTCTTCATCATCCCATTTTGGGAACTGGCCGCTGTAAGGGTAAACCCACATTTTACTCAGGTTACAAGATTTAAAGATCTCCTTGCAAAGTGGTCCATCCTTTATTGATAAATGCAGTCTTTCGGCCTGCGAGTCTCCGTAAATCCACAGTTTTTCCAGCTTAGGAGCTGTGATACTCGATTTCATCGGCTTTCTATGCCTTTTTACTCCTGAAAATAATTCAAATAGTTAGAGCTTACCAGAACTTCAGTTCTTGTTTCCTTTGAGATTTCGCAGGGCCAACCGTATATAAATCATGAGAATAACGCCATTTATTATCAGGAGCAGTATGCAAATCGTACAGCTCAGCGGTAAATCAAATGATCGGTACCTCCTCACCTTGATGCTTCTACGTAGAGGGCTCTTTATTGCTTCTCTATTTCGACACCCCTCAGTCGATTTAAAAATATTTCATTGCACGGCAACCGAGACAATATTACACCAGCTCCGAAATTTGACTTATCACTACCGTTTCAGTGTTCAGACTTTTTGTTCTTCTTTCTGTCAACCCTCCTTGAAGTTACAGTCTTTCAGCTTCCATTTGTCTTTTGTGACACTATTCTTCCGGTAGCCTTACTTTCAATTTATAAATTTTTTACGACTCGCATTTCACACTTGATCCATTTGAACATTTGTTCGTCGACTGAAATCTGTTGGTGTATACTCGACATTGAGCCCTTGACGAGAGTAACACCCAAAACTCAAGTTCTGCCTAGATGCCAAAATCTAAGAATCTCGAAATATACCTGTAAGATATGGCTTCCACTTTGTCCCGAGCCAGCGGCCGAATCCATCCCACATAAATTTACAATCCATGCCGCAAGACAAGTTAAACTTGGCGGAGAGGCACGGGCGGTCTGGTAACTGATTTATCAGGAATGCTCCTACATGCAGAACCAATAAGAAGCCGGAAAGGATTGGAACATTGCAATACATACAGGCGTAAATACGTTTACTTGTACTGTATTTGAAACGGTGCAGTTGATAGCTGTTCGTATAGATGGTCATAACAAGCAGAGTTCTGCGGTAAAGCGTATCTTTGCAATGAATAAGTTCAAGTGCGATTAGGGTACGGTCGTTATCTACCGTCTGGGGGAGGGGAGGGGGTAGGAGGACTTTGACTGTGATTATATCTCAATGAAATTTACCTGATTTCTCCCCCTTTCCCCTTAAAGCTCGTTTAATTCTATTGACCTTACCCCGTCATTGTCAGTCAATTCTTTATAGTCCCCTCTATACTCTGTTAGTGACAACTGATTCCCCCCTCTGCTCCCCCTGAAAACCATGTGATCCCGAAATCTTCAGATCCCCTACCCATCAGGTGAAAATAATGACTAGTTCCATAAAGTGCGATAATAAATGCATTGTACCCCACAAATAATCGGCCCATTTCTTAGTTTTCGAAACAAAAAGAAAACGATCGTTGAAAACGTTAACTCAATCCGAACAACACGATTCCCCCTTACCTCTATCCTCTGGCAGCGGGATGTTAATCATAATAAGCTTGCCATTTTGGAACACTTGAAGAAGATAGTCATCTTTCGCGCGGTTAACGCCTAATGTCCCGTCTTTTTGCATCTTGCCTTGAGAATTCCCTTTCAAAAAAATTTAATAAAAGAAAAAGAGACAAACGGTTCAATACGAAAAGATGAAATAGTAGACCTCATCAATTAATGAGATCGCTGCCCATGAAAAATGGATCGTATGAACGAAAGGTGTCGTATTCATGTAGTAAGGTGCTTTACAAACAGCTAGTGTTGTAATCCAGTGGTCAAAACTATGAACATCTATGGTTGAGTTTTAGAATGGTAAACAGGCCTTGTCTAAGATTGAGGAATTCTTGATAGCTAGATTTATTTTCTTGAAATTTTGTGTTGTTCATTTTAGCTTCAGTGATCACATAAACGACCGATCCACTTCCTTGGGAACATTTCCTGGCGCAGGAAACTGCTGCCTAAATCTGAACTTTAAGCGACCAGTATTCCACTTGTTAGCTGCGCTCACTCGTGAGCAATTTAGTTGAACACTCGAAGAGAAATTCCATATCTACGCGCGCCCATGTATCATTCTCTATTTATCAATTTACCGCTATAATCTTCGATGACGTCAGGTCTGTGAATCTTATACAAATCAACAGTGAAGCACTTTCCTCTTGAAATGAAATCCGCTTTTGTTAGATTTCCTTCTTAATTCCAAGTTGCATTTAAGAGCAGCTATTTTGCATTAATTTATCTTAAATTATATTCGTCTTTATTCTTACGTATTAATCCCAACCCACAATATGTATTGAAGCATCAATTCACATCGCGAACGAGACTTCCTCAAGAAGTTTCTTTCAATTATATTCCAAACATATCTCTTACCTACTATGAACCAATTTTTCGGTGGATCACGGTATCCGTCACAAAGGCTATAGTCCAGGGTGATATCCAACTTATAGAACCCTGGGTCCATAGCAAGAAACAAAAACTCGTATGTCCCATTTCCGTGATCAAACATTGTAGGTGATACGGTGGCCGGACCGTGGAGTAACACGCGCCAAGAGTCGCCGCCAATGCGCTTCAGTTTACCATTCCGAGTTTTTGTTTGAATGCTGAAACGACTAAATTGACCTGCTGACCTGATTTCAAAAGACGAAATCACACTTTTGCCAGCATCTGTTTGAAGTTCGCGTTTAGGAGAAAGTCCATTCCATGAGATGTTGTAGAAACATGGTCTAAGAATTGAGTCCAAATCGACTCGCGCTTGTCGAATTCGACACCAGTTTTCCTTAAATTGTTCGACATTTTGAGAGATTCTGTTTGATTCCTCAAGAGAATATAGATTTCCTTCATCGCTGAAATACTTGTAGTAAAGAAAATGAACGGCTACCGTTGAAAGGCAAAATTTGAGAAATGTTTTCCATCGGTGGACGTAAGATTGGCTCATTTGCGGCATTTAAGATCTATCAGCTGGTGGTAAAAATGTTTCTGCCTTTTACCTAAATGCATATTAGCTCCGGGTCACGTTGAAACGGCAACAGCTATAACCATGGTAACGGAACACTCTTGCTTGGAATGTTTATGTCCCTGCATCGCTCTTTGTTACCCGCCGAAGGTTTTTTTTTTTTTTTCTCATTTTTATTGTAATCTCGTTAATCAATATTCACGGCTAGAAAAACTCTGAAACGTGAAATCATGTTGGTTTTTGCTAAAAATTTAAATTTTCAGCTTTGTTTTGCTGCATATATTCATGATATAAGAGGAAATCCAAATCACAATCGACTGTCAATTTACAAAGTACGATGGCAGTTGTAAGGCATTCCCAAGCATACTTGTTAACTATTTGTCTTAAAAAACAAGGCCACACACTATGCGTTCTTCAGTTGAGTCGAATCAAATGCACACATTTTACTTTAATATTTGCGTTAAATATCTATAAGCTGAGGGCACGCTGCCAAAATTTCATGTGATTGGAGTTTGCATCGATTCCTTCGACCAAACTTAATTTAGATCGGCCTAAACCTGAATTTAATTCGCTTTCAACACAACACGGCTTGTCAACAAGGCTTATTGTTGTAAAAAGTTATATCTCATGGGCATTCTGCGATTCATTCGGCAAGAAACATAAAATTCTTCTTTATATTTATTTGCATCATTTAATGCATAGATTTTGAATTATTGTAAGTGTCGGGCTGAATAAGCTGAAGAGAAATGACTGATAATTTAATCTCAGTTACCATGATTACCATCGACATAGTTTACGCCACGTCATTTCTCATTCACGAAAATAATCATAAACCTATTGAATAAAACATCTATTTATTCCAAATGATCTTCCTCATTGCCCAGCATTTGAAAGCGTTTCTGAAATTATGGCTATCAGCGGTAGCATTACACCTCTTTTACTTCCAGTATTTCAACAACAGTGGAGGAAATTCATTTTACCTCGAAAACACGCCGAAAATTTCGCATCAAGTCGAAAGTTTTCAAGAAAGCTGGTGTCGAATTCACCGAGCGCGAGTAAATTTGGACCAGATTCTTAGTCCATGTTTCCACAACATCTCATGGAATGGACCCTCACCTACTAATCGCGAACTTCAGACAGATGCCGCCAGGAGTATGATTTCATTCTTTGGCATCCGGCCAGCGGGTCAGTTCAGTCGTTTCAGCATTCAAACAAAGACGCGGAAAGGTAAACTGAAACACATTGGAGGCGACTCGTGGCGCGTGTTGCTTCGCGGTCCGGCCACCGTGTCACCCACGATGTTTGATCACAGAAATGGCACTTACGAGTTTTTGTTTCTCGTTATGGACCCAGGGGTCTATATGTTGGATATAACTCTAGACTATAGCCTGTGCGAAGGATACAGAGAACCTCCAAAAAATTGGTTCATAGTTGGTATGAATAACTATTTAAAAAACGTATACCAAGGCTTTTTTTTAAATTTCTATTCTTAATTTAACGCTGTGTTCCATTTTCAGTTTCGAGAGAGTTTTGACAGTGAGCAACAAAAACTAGGTAAAATATAAGTTCATTTTTAACCGACGTTGTCCCCTAGTGATTTTCCTCAAGGAGTCGCACCACCGATCCCCCATGGCTTGTTGCCCTCTTTAAAAGAGTATCAGAATATCAGATCGCAAAATCTGAAGGCTTAAGGTTGGATTTCTTGTCAGGAAACCAAGATTTTTTTCTTGGTAACATGCTCGCAACAAATCGAATAGAATCAACCGAATTTGACCTTTTATCATACCCTACTTTCTTTCTTTACTTTTTTATTTAATCACTTTCACCAGAGTGTGGTGAGGGTGGCACAACAGAGCGAGGCTCTAAATTAAGTGCGCCCAATATCCCATCCATCCCATCCCAGGGGAGGACATCAATCACACAGTAATCTCGTGTGTGTGAAATTTTAACTAAGGTTCCTATCTTGTTCAAGGCGAGAAGCCCCATTTTGAAAACAGTGTTTTCCCCCAGGGAATTCGCACGGTAAATTACAGAAAGAAGGCACGCTTGGAAAGAACCGAGCTAGAGATGATTACCTTCTTCAACCCTTTCAAGATGGAAAGCTGATTATGATTAATATTCCGTTACCTACAGACGGAGGTAAGAGAGAACGTTAAAATTGTTAAAAATTCTCTATCATAGTCGCTTTATTAAAGCGCAGTGCTGATTGTTTAGTTTTACCAAAATTGTTAGAGGGGAAACGAGGAGGTTGTTTTGTGTGCGTGTCTAATTAAATTGGCAAAAAGTGGTCTTTTAAATATGTTTGGATAGAGGATATGTTTTCAATAAAGAGTTTTGACCTTCATCGTAGATATTTAGAGCGGGTTGTATATTTTCATTCTTCAGGAAAACATCTAATAAAAATACAAGGTACATGTAACATCATTCCGTAATATTTATTTATTCATTTATTTATTTAACTGTATTTATACACGGGTAAAACATCAGGACTTAAAGTAGATACAAAAATTGCATTAATTACATTTTCAAGATACTAATCTACTACTAATTCAATCTAATAACAACAAAAGAAGAACAATAACGGAATGCCTGCTTTCCATGAATGCCGTGTGATTAATTTACTCATTTATTATCAAAAAGGAAACCCCTGCAGCCGGATTTAAAACTAGCAAGAGTTTGTGCTTGCCGTACTGGTAGGTAAGCTGTTCCACATCACCGCACCACTATACCTGAAAACATTTTTTAGAAAATTGGTGCGTGGGGGGAGAGGGGGGTGTGGAACAGCTACTTTGCCCTCAAAATTCCAAAGAGAGTAGGTAGACATTGCACTCCGATCAGTAAACATTGATTTCAAATAATCAGGAGCGAGACTACTAAGAGATTTATAGACCATAGTGGCCATTTTTAATTCTCGTTGAAGATTAAATTTTTGCCAGCCTAGTCTAACAAAGACTGGGGCGGATCCAGGATTTAGTCAAGGGGGGTTCGGAGAATTGTCCGAGGGCATGCTCCCCGGGGAGATTTTGAAAATTGGGTCTTCGGAAACATGATTTCCAGTATTTTAGGGGGTTCGACCGAACCCCCCGAACCACACCCTGGATCCGCCTCAGAAAGAGATCATCCGCATTGACATCATATGTAGTTTTATGGAAAGAGATTTATAGCAATTCCCCATAAGACACTACAGAAATCGAAATATTAAATTAGGCTCTAAAGCATTATAGATGCATAAGAGGGTTTCAAAAGGAACAAAAGATCTGTTTCTCTTCAAGATGCCAATGCAGGAGGCAATTTTTTTCGGAAATATGTTCGATATGTACGTTCCAAGTTAAGTTCTCATCTATATATACTCCAAGAGATTTCGTAAATTCTACTTGTCTTATAGAATTACCGTCAATAGTAAAAGACGGGAGTCTATTCAAAGTATTTAACCTTTGCCTTGAACCAATCAACATAATATTTCAGCCAGGGAAAATTAAAAGTTGGCCAGTCAAAGCTTTCATTGTTTACCACCCAAATTTAGGCAGAAGCCTTTCAAATGTAATGCATAGACTAAGAGTACTTTGCGGGTTCGTCTCGTTTTCCAGAAAATCATCCAATAAAAATACAACTTACATCATGATCATTCCACAACGATGGATCCAGGGAAAAGTAGATGCTAGTCAAAGTGATCATTGTTTGTCACCCAAATTTTTAGGCACAAGCCTTTCAAATGTAATGCGTAAGGTACAGCAAATGTCCTGGATGCAACATCCTAGGTGGTGGCCTGGGTTCCACTTTCCACGAATGATCGCCCCATCCAACCATTGTTAACATTTGATTTTGTGAGACAATGTACAAATAAATCTTACGGCTCGTGTCAATTTTTTTTTATAGGAGCCTATTTGATAAACAGACTGCACAGACAGTCAAGAATGAACACACAGTGTTTAAGTCCCTTCCCAAACTTTGACTTGACTTGTGGAGTTGAATGTAAATTCATGTGGGACGGGTTTGGGAGGTGGTTTGGAAAGAACTGGAGGCCTTATCTCACAGGTATGTAACACGTGTAAATTGTTCTATATCTGAACCGCGTCAATTGTCGTCCTTTCTATGGAACGAAGCGAAGGAAAAAGGGCGGAAGCCAAACAAAGGATTTAATTAGACAGAACGTGTATATGCGCATTTTAAAACTCTCACATTTCATGGCTGTCCTCTGCAAAACAACAACGTAAAGTCATCAAAATTATTGTGGTCTGAGAATGGAAACCCAAACAGCAAATTATTTAATTTTCCGTTTGGAGTTCACAGAGATGACACAATCGTAAAATCGCCGTAGCCTGGGTTCGATTTCAGGACTTTGCTTGCGTCATGTGTGGCTTTCGCTTGTTATTGGCTCGTCCACAATCTAAAAGGTTTTTCTTCCGGTAATGCACCTTTTACATTTATCAAAAGCCAACACACTATTCGGTAATTTCATTTATTCTTTCACACTTTTTGAACCAGGTAACCCCCTATCAGTAACCTCATTGAAATGAGCAGTTTTATTCTTGTTTTTCTAGTTGCCATGTTCCCACCAATAACGTAGCTCCATTTTCTGCCTTTAAAAGCACACACAACCCACAATTCCCCTATTCGCTCCCACGAAGGGCTAACGCTCGAAACGTCAGCTTTTGTAATCGTTACGGTGGCCAATTTACCATTTCAACTTTGTTGATATATCCAAATTATTTCGTTACCCCCACCGACGCGGCCCTAAACAGTTTCTTTCGAAACTATCAGCCTTTATTCGGTTTTAAGATGATGTTGACAAACAGTAAAAGTGTTCCTGGTTATGCTTGTGGGTTCACATCCGATTTATTTATGCTAACTCTCCAATCCAAATGCTATTTCTTGCTTCCTATCCAGATATTTCAAACCACTCCCAGTTCAAAAGTACATCTCGTAAACCAAGGACATTATGGCTTTTCGGTGACTCAAATGCTGAGAGACTATACGTATCTTTGAAGGATGGACCGCTGTGCAATGAA